TAGGGCTTACGCTGCTACCCACCCCCTCTGGTCCAGCAGGGGGTCTATCTCAACCAATACTAGGACACATCTCATGTGGCACGCTAACAGAGACGACGCGTTCTCTTTGTCTGGTGGCGCGAGGCGGGATAGAGGAGCGCCTTTAGTAGCCAGCCTGCCAGGTGAGAGCCTGGAGTGTCATCCTCTCATTTAAGCTCTTTGAGTTAAACCTGCAAAACCCTGAATAATTAACAGAGTCTCACTCTTTACATAGAGAATGCAAAGATTTCATCTTTTGGATCTGAAAGATGCTCTGTTCAGGCACACCTAAAGCTGACTGCTCGCCTGTATGTTAGCTTTTATCTGTTATTATAGACAGAAAAGTTCCCGTGAGTCATAATTTCAAAAATGACTAATGATAACCTCTGTTTATTTTAAATGGTGTAGAGATGGGGTTATACCCTCCCTAGTGTGCGGTCTGTACTATAAACTCCACCAGCAGTGGATTAGACATTCACTATCTGATTTAATCCACTGTCAGGGGAGAAGGGTTCACTTAGCTTCAGGGTGAGGAAAGTCTGAGCTTCAGCTGTCTCTGAGGATGGCACTTTGTTCACATCCCCAATAGAAAATGTTACAGTGACTGAAAATTATGTTTACATTTTGCTCGTAAAGTGGACGCATAATGCTTATACATAATTTCTTTTCACATGTAAATCATTCTCTTATGGTCTATATAAAGTAGAACTGCAATGTTTTGATCTGAATTCATGGTTATTGTAGCTCCAGGCCCCTCGTTTACCTCTGTTCTGATGTGCCACTTAGAGAAACTCATCACTGTATGAAAATGTGGAATCATAATGGTCTGCTTGGATGCACTATTGGATAGAATATTCAGTCACCAGTGTCAGTATACTGATAATGTCATAGGGCGGTTTAGATGAGGTGAGGAGAGACGCCGAGAACCCAGGTATGGTGAAGATGATGAATTTAATGGTGATAATAAAGCTCAACAGTCCATTACAGGCAGCACGGCAGAGACTAGCACACAGCTAAGTACCGGTAGCAACTGATTCACAGGACTAGAAACGAGAGCTGACACTACCAGGACTAAACAGTTCTACTGGAGCGCACACACAACGTAAGACAAAACTGAGACGTTAGACACACATAGACATTGACAAGGACCCGACGAGGAACACAGACAGCAGGTGGGTTTAAATACACAAGGGGTAATCAGGGGAATGAGACACACCTGGGGAGCAATCAACAGGGAGGACAGGACAGAGACTCACAGGGAAACAAGATCACATGGAAAAACTCAAAATAAACACAGAAAACCACGGATCATGACAGATAAGGCATTATTACAAATTAATAATCAAATTATTTGTTATTGTCATAATTTTCCCTCCACTTTGCAATGAGTTACTTTATGTTTATTTGTCCCATAAAGCTAATGGAAATATAATGACATATCCAGCTATAATTTGACAAAATGCAGAAAATTCATAGTGTGAATACTTTTGAACAACCCTGTAGTTATGCAGGGTTGTATAACTACATATGTTTATTAGAAACATAAGTAGACAGAAGGATAAAATTTCCAGAATCCAGATGAAAAATCTAATAATATGTTGATAGAGTCTGAGTAGAATGCAGCTCTACTGCAAGTTGTGGTGTAGATCAGGTCTTTCCGTTGTGGAGTTAGGTAAGTTGCTGAGATGAAGTCATTATTTTCTGCAGCATGCTGTGGTCTTTGCACTGTTTCCTCCTCCAGCATTTCAGCCTAATCCACTGCTGACAATGTGCAGTTTATTGTCTCTTTCAGATCCACAGAGCTGTTACTCAGATACAGCTTTATGGAAGCTTATTCAGCAGATCTGATGGAACAGAAGATTTTCTCTTGGATGGTGAAATAGTCTATTGTCATGCTTTGCTATGTCATTAGCATGCATGACATGCAGGAATTCACTGAAGCACATTTGCATAAATTAGGAAGGCAGCAGGCTAAAGTAAGGGAGTAGTGCTTGTTAAGAAATAGGGAGTGTTCTGATATAATACAGCTCAGTTTGTTTATGAAAGGATATCCAGCAGGCCGGACACTACATGTCATTTCCTGCCTTGTAATGTTAGCATTTGGCCTGCTCAGACCCAGAACAGAGTTGTTAGCTTCTAACTTGTCTTACTGTCTCACGCTTTGTTTCTTAAAGCTGAAACTTATCAGCTGCTCTAGCAGACAGCTAATGAGCAGGAAATACTGCATGTCCCTGTTCTTCCACTTTTAACAGTTAGGTTCTAACACTGCTCCTTTCTCCCTACCTTTCATTTTTCTCCTGAATGTAACCTTCTGCCTTCCTTTATCCTTTTCCCCTCTCTTTATGCTTTTCTTTAATAGGCTGTGGTGGTGCTTGTAACAGTGGAGTAATCACATATGGTGCTGGACACACATAAAGATGTGCTCCCACTGGTAGCTGCTGCTGATACTAGCTGAAAACAGATCTCTGGTAGCTCAGCAATTTTCCTCCAGCAGTTTTGCTGTTTATCAGCAGCTCTGGATGCAGCTCTTTCAGGCTGCTACTGCCACACCATTAGCACAACTCCTCATCGGGTTTCTGGGAGTGTGTGTGCCTGAAGTCAAACTATTTGATGGCTGTTTATTTAGCGTACACCAGGCTATTGCTTATATGTGTTCTGTGACCGTCAGCCCTCAGGAGATCATGAGAAAGAAGATCAACCACAGTAAAAAAAAAAAAAAAAAATCATATGTAGAGGTCAAAGGGATTAAAATGAATATAGATATAAGACAGATGTGACTGAAGTAATGCTCTTTTTATCCAGTATGAGTACTAACTAAGACAGCTGAAAAGAGATTGGTCAGTATTTTTTATGGCATTTTGTTTTGCTGCTACCAACGTCTTAGCTACTGGACAGCAGTCAGACTTCCATCAGAACGAATCAGCAGTAGATCCTGAAAGGATGTCTGCCTTTATTAACAACCTCTATTCTGATATAGATGATGGATCAGATAATAGAGATATAGAGGTATTTATTATTTATTTTTTTACCCTGAAGACAATGTTGGCCAATGGCTACTTTTCTATGTAAAACAAGTGCAAAACATAACATGTTCAGCCTGTCAGAGGCTAAGAAGAAAAAGATATGAAGCTATAAGCGCAAATTCAAGCTGGAAAACTTCTGCCTCACCTGCTCCACCCAATTGCTGCGCCATGCTCTTCGCCTCCAACCTCAGCGCTGGTCCTCAACCTGGCGTGTCCAATCATCAATCAAGGTCCGCTTATAAGGATCCACACCCACGCCATCAGCATGGTTGTTTGTCCTGTGTTGCCCTGTGACAGACTGGTGACCTGTCCAGGGTGAACCCCGCCTCTCGCCCAGAACATTAGCTGGAGATAGACACCAGCACCTCCCAATCCCACCATAGGGACAAGGGTGTACAGAAAAAGGATGGATGGATGGAAAATATAGTACAAGACTATTATAGAAAGTAATGTGCAAAAATAGACATATTGGACTCACTTAATTTAATGTGTATTTCTTTTTTTTTATAATGACTGTAAAAAGAATGTCTCTGTATGTAGCTCTTCCTCTTCCTCTTCCTGAAGAGCCTCTTCCTGATTGGTTCTGTAATTGCTGTATTCTGCTGCGCTCATCATTAGAGCAGATTGTCCAGTCAAAGTTTCAATCCTCCCCCCAATCCATTCCACTCAGATCACACTGTACACCTACCACAACCCTCCACCTTATACAGAGTCAGCAGCTTCCCCCTAACAATGTCTGATGTGTGCAATTCTACCGGTGGATCAAACACAGAACAAGGGTTAAAACCACAGGCGTGTTGGGATGCTGCTGCTGGATGTTAACACAAGGCTTGGTGCCCATGTTTCCCTCAGATCATAAGGACATGCTAATATTCTTTTTTCTCCCAGCTGAGTTGCCTTTACTCTTTTGCCCATACCATGTCTGAAACCTCTGCACCGCTCCTCCGCTCACAAAGTAGCCGATAAACGGTTTACATTCTGTGTCTCATTTCCATATGATGTCTGTTGAGGCTTGTAAGGCAAGTTGCACCAGTCAGCCTCTGAGAAGGTGTGTCAAGTAAATAAACAATGCTGTAGTCACTCTGGAGTGAAACCACAATAATTACATTTAACAGGTTTTAACTGTGGCCACAGAAAAAGCCCGGATAAAGCTGCAGGGATTAGTTGTTTGACCCGAGTGGAGTGTTCACCTTGCTATAGACCTTATCCTGATCCCTCCCTGCAGACAGACCAAAGTCTTGGACTCCTTTCTCTCATCTCTTAACGTTCAGTGACAACAGGAGCAGAGAGAGACCTGCAGCTCTCCAGGGCCTGACTATTAGCTAATTATCTGGCATTAAGTCCAAATAGAAGACTTCCCTTGTACATCCCTTGCCACATGGCCACTACAGGGATAAGCTGTGTTCTTACAAATTCACAACCACTTACCCTGAGGACGCAGGGGGCACTGACAGAAAAAGTGAGACTGGAGAGCCAGGCCAGGACCATGACCATATTGGCTTTTTTATTCCGTTTAGCAGGATTAGATCTACTGTAACACTGTAGCTATCAAAATAGCCACCTGGCAACAAATTCAGTTTTTAAAATGAAGTGTAAAATTTGTATATTGGTTATAAATAGAACAGCCTTCAGAAATGGTCATCATTTACCTAAACCATGTTTCATTTAAAGCATCAATTTATGTTTTACTTACACAGGAATGGGTTTATGTAAAACTGATAAAATCACAGGGAAGAACTGTCAGACTGAAGGAATGTCCCACAGGGTGTTATAGGAATGAAGGTCACACAAGCCTGCCTGTAGATCTTAGTGCAGGTGTGATGCTGATCTGATAAAATGATTAACTCTTCCTTTACTCTCTTTGTGTTTGTTGCAGCTGTCTCACCATACTCCAGCTAATTTGAACTATGGCTCTGCTCATGGTAATACTGGCAATTTCCCTTTTTTTCCTCTTTGCAGGTCACTGCCAGGGGATTCGCCCCATTGTTGCAGTTTGCCTACACTGCTAAGCTGTTACTCAGCAGAGAAAATATCCAGGAGGTCATCCGCTGTGCAGAATTCCTGCGCATGCACAACCTTGAGGACTCATGCTTTCGCTTCCTGGAGGCTCAGCTACGCAGAGAGGAGGACAACCTCATGCTTTGCCACAGGGGGGCACCGGAGGCTATCAACTCAGAGGATGAAAGCATGCAGTCAGAGTGTGAAAGACCCGCCTCCCCCAGGACACGGCATTGTGCAGACACCCTGGCCTCCTTTCAGACTCCTGACGATGACAGGTTAGCAATGACTGTGTCCAGTAACTTGACAGATGGCCGGCTGGACTTTGAGCGACATGGAGCATCAGATCTACCACGATGCCCAAAGTACAGAAAATATCAGTGGGCTTGTAACAAGCACAATAATGACACCTCCTCACACACCAGTACCTCAGGTTTTCCAAGCACAATTAAGGAGAGCAGCATCAGTGGGGTTCTGCCGGGTCAGGGCAGGCTGCCCGTGACACAGATAAAAGTTGAACCACAGGCAGAGGAAGAGGCCATCTCATTGTGCCTGTCAGGAGATGAACAGGATGTCAGGGACAAGGACAGTGTGACAGCTATGGAAATGGATAACCCCTTATCTCTGGAAAGAACCAAGAGAAACAAGTCCTCATCTTGCCTCCAAGCCTACTTCAAGAAAGGAATAGACCTTCCTAGTCTGTCCAACACTTCACAGCAGCTACTCACCAACAGACTTGTCTGCCCCCAGGACAAAGGAAACTCTCAGGGAGATCATAAAAAAGACTTCAGGCCTTTTACTGGGGAGTTGGATCTGTCTGTTACATCCCCAAAGGAGGTAGATAGTTTCCCTGCAGGGTTGTCTCTGAAGTCTGCTTCTTATGATGGTGTCTGCAAACAGGAAGTTGAGCTAGACCGCCGTAGTGTGATATTCTCCTCAGGGGCCTCCAACCGTCTGGGACCGCCAGCACATTCCTACCCCGGTGGGAACTCTTTGGAGATGGAGCTTTCTGAGCAAGTGACAAAAGGACTGTGGGCTGAATCCTGCCAGTCCCTCCCAAACTCCCAGGCTTATTCTCCCAGCACCACTTCCTCTGAGCCCCCAGCCCTGTCGCGTCCACGCCCCAACACCAGCTGCCCAGTGCCAATCAAAGTATGCCCACGCTCGCCGCCTTGTGAGACACGCACCAGAACTTCCAGCTCCTGCTCCTCTTACTCCTATGCAGAGGATGGTAGCGGAGGCTCTCCCTGCAGCCTGCCCCAGTTCGAGTTCTCCTCCTCACCATGCTCCAATGTGGCACGATGCCTCAATGTGGACCAGCAGGAGCAAAATGTGGGAGGGGATGCTCGTTTCAACCAGGTGCGACCCAAAATCAAATGTGAGCAGTCCTATGGAACCAACTCAAGCGATGAGTCCGGCTCCTTCTCAGAAGGAGACAGTGAGTCATGCCATGCTCAAGAGCGAGGGCCAGAGGTGAGCAGGAACACACTGCCTGTCACATGTAGTAGAATATCACCACAATAATGGCTAATTATTTTACAGTGGCCTTCTTTCTGGGTCTGTATTAGTAGTCATTAAGTCACTATTTAATTGAAGCAAGACTGTTCAGTACAAGATTTACAGGACTACCAAAAGGCACAGATGGGCTTTGATATTATTAATTTGCTTTATGCCCTGCTTTTAATGGCTCTAATGACTCTGAGTATTGAAGCTTAGAGTCTCGAGGACAGTCTACATGCAGGATGCTATGGGTAGACTTAGGATAAAGTCTTCACCAGTTCTTAAAAGAACCGGTCTTATACACTATATTTAGAATATCTAACAAAGCTAATTACCAGAATATACACATCATATGTTTTTGCAATTTAAATCATTCAAAATATTAGTTATGATGTTAAATGTTGGTAAATTTGACACGTGAACATAAAGTTTTACACTGCTACCCTAAAGATAGAGAAGGAGGAAAGTATTACCTCAGACTCATGATGAGACTAAAACACAGCTCATCTGTGCTGACAAGAATGAATAGACAATCCTCTAATCATCCCGCCGTAATCCACCTGGAGAGACGTCCTCCAAGCCTCAGACTATACGGCTGTTGTTGTTTATGTGATAAAGATCAGTGAGAGGCTGACTGTCACCCCAAAATAACCCAGGCATAAAGACAGTGAGACTAGTAGATTTTGTCCAAGATTGAGAAACTATTTTTGGCTCATAATTTGAAACGGTCTTTGCTATTCTGTGGTTTTCCTGTTAGGTGAATACACATTTCCAAACTTCCCTCTCAGGATTCTCTTAGGATTAAAAAATAGGCTTCTATCTCATTGTATGAATATAAAATGCATCTCTTATGAATTATACATGTGGGGGTTTGTGTACCACACTGCTCATTGTCTGTGTGGAGTCAGTAACATGACATGCTGCTTGTTGCAGAGCGTGAACTTGTGACCTTTAGATTCTCTGTTTTCCTGCCATCTTTATTCTTTTGATATTACACTCAGAGATATTTGCCAGAGGTGTGAGGACAATTTTTCTGATGAGGTTTGTGAAGAGGGCTGCTCTAAGTGTGCAGAGAGAGCAGGAGGATCTGGAGAGAAATAGTGTGTTACCATGGCAATGAAATTCACATAACACATTGGTATGTTGGAGCAACATGAAAGGGGTGTGCAACAGTTCTGCTGCACCAACAGGCTCAGATATAATATGTGATTATTACCCTCACTGTATGGCCTAAAACATCCATCCCCATCAGATTCATGGAGCTCTGATGAGCTGAATGTGTCTCTGTAAATTATATGGAACTCATTCATAAGACTGTTATTATTATCAGTGAAAACAGGACAAAATGACAAGGAGACATTTCAGTCCCTTTTATCATTTCTCTGTGTGGGCACACACTTTATTATTTATGTGTCAGCCACTGTACATGCCGGCTTACTCCACACAATATCCTCTGTCAAATCTCTATTGAGTCACACAGGGTTATCTGCCAGCTTTCCGCTCACTATCACAAACAATTGATAAGACTCTTCATGAATGACTATGGCTCAGATCTGCTTCTTATGCAGTTGTTACTTATAGTAAGGATCTCTGAGTCACTTCTTTGGCTTGTTAAAGTAATGTTACATCATGCTTTCTGAGACACATTTTTAGATGAACAAATGCAATAAACTTTACTATTATTATTACCGTGTTTCCCCCATAGTAAGACACCCCCGATTGTAAGACGTATCGGGGGTTTCAGGGGGGTCGGCTAATATAAGCCGTACCCCGAAAGTAAGACATATGTCTTACTTTTCGGGGAAACACCTCTCATCTAGCTGCGTGCCGCCTCCTGCCCACGTCCGCGCCGTCCCCCTCTCCATACGTAAATCTGTTTTATCTTCCAGTATTCCACTGTTCGTTCTTACCATTTTTCATTGTTTTACATGTTATGCAATATTGTAACAATACATTCTTGGCACTTCCTTTTATAAAACTGTTTTGTGGTGAATACAATACTGTTCAGGTTGTTAATAAATGTTAATTTTATGGTTAAAACAAAAAATTCGACATTTTTTTCCCAATATAAGACATACCCCGAAAGTAAGACATAGTGGGGCTTTTGGGGATAAAAAGAAAGTAAGACACTGTCTTACTTTCGGGGAAACACGGTAGTTATTCTTAATCCTTGTGTTTACAAATGGGGTCCAACCGACCCCACACCCATATCATGTGTATCATTTGCCTTAGTCCTCGCACGCACAAGAGTTAAGTTTGTACAGTTAGGAGAGAAGGCTTGAAGAGATTAAAAATAGCTGCATCTCAGGATAAGTTAAGCATAAGCTGCAGATTCCATGAAAAAGAAAGTTGTTTAAATGTAAGCCCAGTGGAAGGTCATGTTGTAGGCAAGTGCCAGGGGGTGGGAGAATTGCCACTATTGATGCAAGTCTATCTGACACTTATTTTTTGTAACCAGAATAGCAAAGTGTCATCTCCAGTTTACTTAAGAGACAAACAAGCCAAATTTATATAAAGTTATAAATGTATAATAAAATGCCAGCAATTACTGCAAACAAAAATCATTAAAATAAAGAGTAAATACAGAGGAGTGAGGATGTCAGCAGAGTAAATCCTCCTGCAGTCTCAGTTTAACTATTAGCTGTGTCAAGGAAACAAAAGAAAAGAAAAACTCACGAGTGAATGGTTGTTGGAAATGTTTCCCATGTCTTTTCAATGTGGTGTGTTTAGTGGCTTGATAGAGCAAATACTAGAGTCCCTTTCATAAAGGACATGAGGAACTGTTGGAAGAAAGATTACACTCTTCAGTTACCGCATAAATGTCTCCTTTTGGAAGTGAATAGCACAAATAGACTACAATTTGTGGTCGTGTATAAGTCAGTGTGTATGTTACTTTGCTCATCTTGATTAACTTCGTTGCAAGGAAGATACACACACACATTTATATTTGACTGATTGAAAACTAGGGATGTTTAAAAAATAATTTATATCTGCCCACTAAGCAAACTGTTCCTGAAAATACAACATTTTAATCAGATTTTAAAATGAAAAGCGGTGTACATAGAGAAATCGACATCAAGATTTGTATGCTTAAGTTGATAGAACTGATAGATCCTGGTCTAATCAGGATTTTTTGGCTACACCAAAGTGAGGTCTGAGGACGTCCCTGCATAGGGACAATGAAAGACTAACCTGAAAAGTCCATAAAAAGCTGTCCATGAATGTCCGTAGTTTTGAGGGATTCGATTGCTATTATCTGAACTTGTTGGTATATGAGGGCTGTAAATCAGATGAAGCTGTTGTAGGTTACAATTATAATATGACATGTTCTTTGTGATAAGTGTTGTGTTCTATGTAGCACTTCAGTCCCACCCTGTTAGGTGAGATATGTATCACATTGTGGGTTTTCTTATCGTCCTCTAATGTTTTGTTTTAACTGCATTTTAATTCTCTGTATTGCTCTTTATTATTCTCTTTGTCCAGTGTTCTGTTTATGTCACACCAGATTTTAGTCCTCTATTGCCCACACATTTATTTCTTTGCTAATACTCTCTCTCAGTGATTATACATTAACAGCATTTTAGTTGCTGATGTCTACATTTGGCATTTTATTTTATTTTTTTTAATTTTTGCCTGGTTTAGGTAGGCCTGGTATTACACCTTGTATTGCATAAACATCCTTTATGCAGTTGTTTGACTTTCAATCTAGGTTTTTGGCTGTCTTATTTTCTTTTAAAGCTAAATCAGCACAAAAAACCCAGAACACATTTGTTTGTTGTTGGCTCAGTGTGCCCACTGTCTTTGCATCTGTCAGAGCTGTTGTTTCTTGTTAAAGTGTAGGTGGTGTTAAGTTGGTTCTTGTGCAAAGATTGGTCAAGAGGCAAAAACATGCATCTCCAAGTAAAGAATAAGGAAACTGCGCTGACACTTCAGAGCATTGTTGATGCTGTTGTAATGTTGAAATGAATAGCTTCATTACAACAGCATGTATATGTAAATGCTATGTAAATGGCAGGTGTAAAGGCCTCGATTTTAGCTCCACTAACACAATCCCAAAGAAACCTGATGTAGTTTAGATATGATGTAGCTGTGGTCCAAATCAGATGTCATTGTCATTTATAGCAGAGGGGATGGTTAGTTTATGCCCAGAATCCATTTAGATTGTATATAGATTATATGCATGATATATGAAAGCTAGACACATGTTATATTAAATAATTATGTGGTTTAATCTGTATGTATGTGATATAATCTTATAGGACTATTTACAATAGCATAAATTGATATTGACCATTGTTATAGCTTGAAGCAAGCATGCTCATTACAGGAAGAGATGATGTTCCTAACAGACAGGATGCAGGGAATACTTGATCCTTAAGCAGATGTGCAGAACAGTTAACCAACCTGGAAAACTGCAACCAGATGATGAACCAGTAAGCATTCAGACCATTCCCAGCCCTCTGCTGCCAGCTTGATGTCGATTCTCCAGCCAATCCATGAGTTAATCCAATATCTGAATGATACATTTTCATTTATCTGCAGACATTTTGGAGCAGCACTGTTAATTCTCTTTTCTTAAAGCATTGAAAGAAATGTTCATCTGCTCTCTACCAAGGAAAAGGAGAAGAAAATCAGCCTGCATGTTAGCTTATTGGCTTCACATTCACAATGGAGCTTAATGCCTTAAATTTTTACCTTTAAAATTAGATGGAACCTAACACCCTTTATGCTCCCAGAGAGAAATTAAATGAAACAATATGAGAAACTGAACGAATATGGTATGATGGATCAGTGGTTAGCTTAGCAAAAATAGAGTTCAATGTTCAGTCTCTAGAGTGTCAGTGTTCTTCCTGTGGAAGAATGAAGGAACATGCCAGAAAGCACTCATTGTGATATTAGCTGGAGGTGCTGCACCTTTCTATGTGTGTTGCTGTTTGTTTGTGTCTGTGGGTCAGGGTGGCCACCACAGTGTGGACCCCACACTCACTCACTGACTACTGGAGACAGGCTCCAGGTTGCTCCCATCTCCATTATTCTGAACAAGATGAAGAAAATAGATGGATCATCTATGTTAGCTCAATTCAACATATATGCATCTAAGATGACTTCACCTTCCTCAATTGTGAAGAGTTTTTATTGGTTAATATTAATAATTAAACATGATGAAGATGTTTCATTTAATCAATTTCTTTATCCATTTCTGGGATACTCTTTGGAGCTGGAGTGTGGAGCATGGGCAGGAGGTGGGCTCTAATCTGGACAGGTAGACAGCTGTTTCAAGTAGTTTTATTGAAGCTCCATCTTGTTGTTTTAAATAATTAAGACCCTGTTGAGGAAGGGCACCAACCGATCAAGCAGCTATGATGTTGAGTGCATCAGCCTCAGGTTAATATTTGGCCATTTTGACTGAAATGAAAATTTGTCCTACATAGTCAATATTTTAGACCCAAATTTGAGACATGTACATCCTTAATGTCTAAGAATGCTCAGCGTCAGGGCAGCGAAGTGAGCAGCATTTTTTTGCGTGTAACAGATGAGCCCTACTTTTCACTCTGTACCCCATTTTCAGCATAATGACCCTGGGAGGGAAAATGACTGAGTCTTGGGAGGAGAAATGTGAAACAAATGTAAATCCAGAGCAGTTTTGTGGGAATTTATGACCAGTGTTGAAGCATACTCTGTCATCCTGACTGTGCTGCTGAACTGGTTTTTGTGGTGGAGTGCTTAAATTTAGCCTTCCCCTGTGTACCAGTGACTGGTGGATGGGATGGAGGGCGGAGGAATGGGAGGGGGGCAGGGGTGACCTTCACAAGGTCGAAATGTCTCTTTCCAGCTGGTTTCCCCCAGCCTGCTCCTTTAGTGGTTAAAAAACATTTTTCTCTAATTGCCTTGCATTGTGATTGTAAGCTAGTTCTTGAATTGTGATACTCCGGCTAGAGCCAAGCGTAGCCTTGAAAGCCCCATTTATTATTTATCATGTGTCTACATACAGATGTTGAGCTAAGTTGAGAAATAGGGCCACAGTCCTAAAGAGGAATCTGGAGCCTTTTCTTGCAGGAAAGACTGACTTCATTCCTGTTTTGATAAGGCACCTTCCAGCAGTCCCCTTAGTGCAGTACTTCCACAAAGTGGGACCCCGGCCCCTGCTGGATGCCATATGGGGATGAGACATGGCATCTCCACCTCTTGTCACCTCTGGTTGTTGTCCTCTGAGAAGGAACCGTTCCCCAGGGGCAGCTGGCCCAGCTTGAGCCTGCAGGTACAGGGGGAGTTCAGAGTTCTGCTCCCTTCCTCCTTTGACTTTGTTCTTTCTGCACTCCACTGAGGTAGCCACAGGGAGGGAAGGAGAACAGAGAGAGACAGCTCTTCTCATCTCTGCCAAGCTCTACGGCTGTCTTCCTCTGGCTCTTTGTTATGCCTCCACTATTTCCCTCGGTGCCTAAAGCTACAGCTCTCTGGTGCAGGCAGATACAGCTGGGGTGGATCTGCCTGTGATGTGCTTATCGGAAGGTTTGCCATCACCTGAGGGAGAGTGGTCGACTTATTGTCGTGCTCAAGACAAGGAGAAAGAGAATAAACACGTGCAGCCCTGATAAGTTGTCATATCGGGGGTGGATATCACATGGCTTTCTGATTCTGTTTGAGCTGGCAAATCGGTGCAGCATTTACTCCACTAATCCTTTTGTTCTTAAGCATCAGGGGACTGCCGTTAGTCATGATGCAGATATGCATACCCCCAAAAGTCTCCTGCCAATGATTTTGGGTTGACAGGTCATTGAATCACTAACCCCACCTCCACCCTGCCAACTCTGTCACCATGGCACACTTCCAGGTCCTAAGAGGCAGATGGAGGCAGACGCTTTTCTTAGATCACCTTTTGTGCTACCTGTTTAAGAAGAGCAGGAAGAACCTGAGCCCTTCACTGTGAGGCATCAGCAATGGTACCCTACTGCCATCTTGTGGTATAGACAGGGTATACAATCCTATATTCAAAGGAGTTATTCTCATTTGAATGTGGTCTTTTACCTTCATTATTCAGTTGTGCACTTAGATGTTGTAAATATTAGACAAAATAAGTTTTTTATATTTAGCTAAATATAAGTAATAATGTTGCAAATCAAACATGAAATAACTATGTGGACAAAATAAATGATTCTGAAAAAATAAGATTAACTCTTCTGTCTAGCTAGCAGAATTAAAGCTTACTGTTTCTTCCTTTTCTAGGTGAAGCTTCCTTTTCCTATTGATCAAATCACAAATCTTCCACGGAATGACTTCCAAATGTTGGTCAAAATGCACAAACTGACATCGGAGCAGCTTGAGTTCATCCATGACGTGAGGCGGCGGAGCAAGAATCGCATCGCAGCGCAGCGTTGTCGCAAAAGGAAGCTTGACTGCATTCTGAACCTGGAGTGTGAGATCAGAAAACTAGTGAGTGGACCAGTCACAAAGCATCATCAACAATTACATTGATTACTACTCACCACAATGTTTGTTGGATCATGTTTATATCATCATCATTATCTGAACTTATTGCTTCTTGTTGAATTATTAACACAGGTTTTTTTCTGTTTGCTTGAATATTGAATTATTGAGCTGGACAGATTGACACTGTTGGACCTGGTCACAAGACACAACAAGCTCACATCATCAGCAGTTCAATCATTGGAGGCTTTTAAAGTGCATCCAAAACACACTTCACACACCTTGAGCTTTTCCACATTGTGTCTCATTATCACCACAAACTTCAATGTGCTATAAAACATTGAAGTTTCCTTCGCTTCACAGTAGTGAACTGTGATGCGGAGGAAAAACAATCTGTGGCCCACTTAAAGTTCAGTCTGTCAGACTGAATCTGTGAAAAATAAATTTCCCAATAATACCTCAGATTCTCAGTTAGATTAAAGTCTGGACTTTGATGTCTTTGATCTAAACCAAATGACTGGATGGTTTGTTGTTCTGTTGGAGGATAACACTCTGGCCTTGTCTCTTCTAGGATTGCCCTATTTTAGCTTCCTTTATAGCTTGGAGTCAGAGTAAGATGGTGGGGGCTTTTTAGGTTTTCACATGTAGAAAAATTTGAGTTACTTTGGGCTGGTCTATGACATTTCAATGAAGTACAGTGAAGCTTATGACAGAAAAATTCAAGAGCTGTGAATAGTTCCACATGGCTGTGTGAATGTTACGTTGATATCTGTATTCCTTTACTAAATGTGTGTGTGTGTGTGTGTGTGTGTGTGTGTGTGTGTGTGTGTGTGTGTGTGTGTGTGTGTGTGTGTGTGTGTGTGTGTGCACAGGAGTGTGAGAAAGAGAAGCTGCTGACAGAGAGGAACCAGCTGAAGGCCTGTATGGGAGAGCTGTGGGAGAACTTCTCCTGCCTGTCCCAGGAAGTGTGCCGGGATGTCCAGCTGAGCCCAGAGCAGGTCCAGTCCTTACACCACTACTGCCCTGTGCTGCGACCCCCCAACTCCACTGCCAGCAACAACACAGCCCACGAGCCCAGGCCTCCCGCCATCAGCACACCGGCCACCACCAGCATCGACCTCACAGGCCACTCTGGCTCTGCCACGCCTGAACCCAGCTTCCAGGGGTTACCGGGACCCTCAGAGAACGAGCCTGAATCTGCCGTCAGGAACGGGGCGGACCAGGATACGGGGGGCTGCGACACCAGCTTGTACTCCACATCTGAGTCTGTGGAAAAATCCAACCAAACAGTAACGGTAGATTTTTGCCAGGAAATGACTGAGAAATGTACAACTGACGAGCAGCCAAGGAAAGACAGTACCAAGTAGAGGTGGATCTTTATTCAGTTATTTTGAATGTTTTTCTATTATTTAATTTTACTCCTCTGACAAACCTTTTCTCTGGGTTGTGAGATGGTCAGCCTCTGCCAGTGTTCACTGAAAAACAAGCTTTGTATTTATGTCATTTTGTGTTGTTTTTGTTTCTGTATGTTTTGTTGAAATGGTTGACACTAAAATTGTCTTAACAGCAGCAATACTGTTCTGCAGGCATTCTCCTCTTACCCTGACAGAGTGGGAACCTCTCACCAAACTTGTACCATGGTGCTATACCCGGCCAGCCGGCAGGAGCCTCTGCAGGGGAGACTGCCGTTCATGTGTCACACATCACAACTTCAAGTTGAACCTCATTGGACCTAAGCAGCAGCTTTCTTTTTATACAAACAGGATCTCTGTTTCTTCCTTTCTCCTGTCCTTTTCTCCTTCTACCGCTCTGTCTTCAGATGTACTCACACACACATACACACACACACTACTTCCCCAACAGGTTCTAGACCTGCTCTAGAGATGTAGAGACACAAATGTGTGCAGAATCACCTCTAAACTACTTCCTGAGAGTATAAAGGCAACTACCTGTTAACTCCATATGATAGAAACCAAGTTTTTCAGTGTCATTTTTTTATCAGCATCCAATCCTGAGGATACCTTCAAACTGTGAGATGTAGATGTGATTGCAACATTATTTCTTCTAATTATCCTGAAAATCTCCTGATGATTTTAGCTCAAACACTTTGGTCCTGATTTCCACATTGCTATAGGCTGCCTAACAGATGTGAATGTTTAACATTTCCAGGTCAATGAGGCTAAAATATTACAGAATTTAACCTGTAAGATTTTATCTTTGTTCAGTTTGTAGCTGAAAAACTGTAATCATTTGCATTATTGATTTTTTTGTACTTCAATATTTTTCCAGCTTGGAGATTGTGACTTCCAGCTACAAGTGGAGTGCATCTTAATTTGGGAGTACTTCACATTGGACAGCATTCGTTTAAAGTATTTAAGTCAGGTGCACCCATTTCATTAACATCAAGATAAATCATCATAACAGAGAAATCTTCCATCACAGAATACAAATGTTTTGCTCAAACAGGAGCAGAGTTTTATCAACCTAAATAAGTATTTAGTACAGATCCGGTTTTTCCAGTATGATGTAAACAGAGATTTTTAGCAGCTCTAACTTTTTCAAGAAAGTTCTGATGAGATTCTGCGCATATTAGTCTAAACTTCTCAGATGTTTGTGTGTGAAAGCAGCTCGTTAGTCTCTCTCTACCTCTGTCTACCTCTCAGTCCCACTCTGTCTCGCTCTGTCTCTTCTATGATTATATCTCAGTGGCCCTTTTCGTCACAAGAATTCAAACTCAGGAAAGAAAAATCCTCTGAATGTTCAACCTAATTCATTGAAAATGAGATGAGAGCTTCTGTACAATAGGAAGTTACAATGCAGTGAGACTGTAAAATGTTCATATGCAAGCAAAAAAAAAATGTTTTCAAGCGTTTCCTATTTGTATTTCTGTACAGGAGAACTTTGTACAGCCTGTAACTGAGAACATTCCTTCTATGCCTTCCACAGCACTGAAATGAAAGGAGAATAAGGTGATTAGATGGCTATTTTTATTTCCCACTCATCAGCAATACCATTGTATTTGGATGTTGTATCAGTGATTTTTCAAGTGCTTGTTTGGCAGATGTGTATATAGTATGGAGCATGATGACTGTAACAGTGATTTTTGTACGTGTAGAAACGTAGGTGTTTCTTTTTATTTCACTTGGGTTATATCAAGCACCTTTCTAAGGGAAAACTTTTGTTTGCTGTTTCCTGTCCTGCCTAATGAATACTTTCCATCATGGTGGGTGTTCTTATACTCAGGAAATCAGCTCAATACATGAATACACACACACAAAACACACACAGCATGCATCCATACACATCCAACCATGAGCCCCTTGCATGTTTAGAAATGACCCATGAGAATATTTTTACGGACTGGCTCAGGCCAGCCCAGCTTCACCTTTGGCTCCTTTTTAAATGTGAAAAACTTCTCCCCATGTTGCTTAATTCCTTTTATAGCAGTATTTAAAGATGTTACTTGTCTAAGCTCTCACAAACACATTTCTTTTGCTATCGACATTTTAAAATTTATCCAAGAAAGAAAGTAAAGAATGAATGAATGAATTTAGGCACTTTGTTTCTGGCCCCGAGCGCTCAGAGCCATTAGCACTTCAGCTACACTCTTTGTCTTTATTTTCTTCTAAGTCTAAACCTGGAGCACTTAAATTGGCCCTGCAAGAGAAAATGTTTTTGATATCATTATATTAATATATGTCGGTGAAGATTTAGAAAGACATCTAAAAGAAGTTAATGTTTTAGTATATGATTATTCTCAACTCTGCTTTGTGTTTCTTTAGTAATGAAATAAGCTAATTCCTGATTGAGTTGACATGAAAAGTGGTGCGTGTGTGTGTGTGTTGTCCAAATGACTGAAAGCCAATCCTGTAAGGTCGTAAAATTGTTGCCCCGATTGTGTTTGGTCATCCATCTCTGTGATGTGCATGCTGCCTAGAACTATATGCGTAGTTAGTTGGTCAAGCTTGTTTTGCCTTGTAAGTTCTCTCTTCTTTTAAAATGCTTTTAAAAATCCTTTCCCAAAATGTTTTGTATAAAGAAACTTAACTGTATCAAACCTCACGAGAGGCAAGCTACAAGCAAGTACAAGCAGGGTTGAATTCAGCATGAAGCTTTGCTGCTTTTTCTTCTCTTTAAGGTCCCAATCCTACAGGTATGATAGTGTAATTTCTGTTCTGCTGAGCATTTCAACTAAGGCATAAATAACTATGCTAACTTTGCTATTTTATCTATCAAAGTCAGTCTTCAAAGTCTACCTCCACCTCTGTCCCTGGCATCATCCAACCCTTCTTCACTACAACCATGAACCCTGTTCCTTTTTGGCAGCTCCTCGACCTCCTCTGAACATCTTCCTCAGCCTTCCCTTTCCTACATTGATTCCAGATTGCTCCACCTGAGCTGTCCCTCTGATATATTCATTCCTAACCGTGTCCGTTTGGGTCACTTTCAGTGAAAACATGACTTTGTCCAGCCCTGCTGGCTCTATCGCCATCTCCAGTTACCATTTGTAGAGCCACCAGCTGTGAAGCATTCATCTCAGCTGGTCTCTCTGCCATTCTTTGTCCCAGTCTTCCCCTCTCACATGTTCTGCCTGCTGCTGTGGACAGCTGACCCCAGGTACTTTAACACCTGTTCTGCTTTCAGCTTCAATGCTCCACCTGTGTCCCATTGATTGTATCTTACTCTCCCATTAACTCCTGGTAGACTATGGCCTCTAAGACCTTCAATCACAATGCAGCAGTGGTGGTTTATGTGTCCCACTAATCCCAGTTGATACATGTTATAGATATACCAATTCATTTGGATGCACTTGGCTGCCATATAATGGTCTAACCCAATTTGGATATTAAATACCTAAGTGTATATTTATCATATGTTATATTTTATAAATGAACAATGAACAAATATATAATGAGCTCAATAAAACGGATCACTAGCCAGTGGTTTTCCTAAAGCATAACAAGCTGCATACATTCTCAAAGGGTTCACTTTCTAATCCTGTTAGGTCATCAGTCTTTATTTTTGTCCCTGTCTTAGTAAGGTGTTTATTTTGGCTTTCACCTTCAATGTTTGGCTGTGTTTGACAGAGGACATTAATAAAATCACCCAAAAAATCACCACCAATCACCATGAAAAACCTGGTTTTTCTGCCAACCTGTCTGATGCTGTGCTTTTTTTTTTGTCTCTTCTTGTCAGATTAACACAGGATTGGGACTTTAAAGTTTGGACAAGATTTTTGGACGTTGTTCCTCCTAACTTTTTCTGATGTAAATTTTAGATTAAGATCTCATTGGTTGTTCCTTTCTGTTTTTCAGCAGGATACTGTCTCATATGTACTTCACTACCCCATTTTTAAATTTTTAGGATTGATCCCTTTCATAGAATGCACACATGCACAAGTTCATGTTCATGTTACACACATACCACACATACACAGGTTTGGAGCAGAAGTAATGATATTTAAATATATATTTCTACATATATAATGTTTTTGTTTGTTTCATTTTTATGTGCTGTTTTCTTTCATGAACACACTCCAAAAATAGCCCTATGTTGACAATTTTAGTTTGCAGAAAGAAATGATCTACATTGGACATTTTTCTGCCAGATTAGGCCTAAAGATGATTCACTTTTTCTCTTGAGAAATGTAGCCAAAGTTTATCAGAGGCTCCTGAGATTTTCTAATACTTCGATAGAGAACACAGACTCTTCCTAACGTATTTTGCCGTTTCTCTGAATTTCCAAATATAATCCCATTGAACTAATGTTTTTGAGGTTTAGTCCCTGCTTTTAGTCCAGACTTTTATGATTTCTTTATGCTCTCTTTATGCTGAAAGGCTCACCCTAACCTTTAGCATTGTAACATGTAAATGATCTTTAACGAATCTTGGAACATTTGGGTTTAAGCCACAAAGAGAAAATGGTTTTATTTTTCATTTTCTATTTTTAGTTGACAGCAAAATATGTTTTACCACTGGTGGCTTCTAGCTACGTAAATTTGTGTCACCAAGTTTCAATCAATACTCTGCATTTCATCACTATACCAGTAATATGGACATACCAAAGCTGTCTGCATGGTGCGAGTAGATGTCAGTCAGCCAAGGATGTTTTATTGCTAATTCAGTGAAACACACCATTAAAACCTCAGGGTGGTGAGAACTTACACATGCTCTGGATTTCACTTTGAAGCAGAGTAGAAAAGCAATGAGCTGAATAGTTTTTGGATTTTTCTGCTCATGATGTTGGAGTGTTTTATTTTCTTCAGGTGACTGTTGCTACCAGAAACAAGCTCTGTATTTGCCCACCTGATAGATATTGAGGTTTGATTTTCCTTTTTTTTTTCTCAATCTGATTTTGATCTCCTGTGACTGTGTGGAAGCAGCACAATACAAGCATTTCTTTATTTGGTGTGAGGTTAGCGGGGAGGAAGGAGATGAGATCAACAAATTCAGTCTGGTTATTGTTAAACCAAAACTAGAAGCTGGAAGGTGCTGACAAGCTATGCAGACGAAAAGCAAATGCAGACTTGGTTTGAATTCCTCTTTGTGTTAAATCAGTTGCAAACCAATCACATTGATTATGAACAAAATTTTATGTCTTATTATATGCATGAATTGAAAGAAAGTTGTGTTGACCTGAGTTGGTCTCCAGGTTGTTTTGTGCAGGTCAAACATAGTTACAACAGTATGATTTATATATGAACATGCTGTAGCTCTGTAAAATGAACCCACTCATCTTTCTATCTAGTTTTGTTACATTTCCTTTTTTTTCTTCTTTTTTTTTGTCGCTGCTTCTCTGGCACAGACACTGGCAACTCCAAAGGTTGTTCTGAAAGAATACGAACAAAAACATGCCTTTTCACAGATTACTCGACTTCATTTTTTTTTAACGAAAGAAAATGTGTGTTATTTAAATGCACAGGTTAAGATCATTGAGTGAAATCTAAATGTAATATGTTTACAGATAGGTGTCATGTCATGTTTTATCTATTTTCTCCATGTAAGAGGCAAAAAATGAGTTCCTCTGACCTTGTGTTTCATCCAACTTTTCGGATGACTCAGCATTACATGGATACAAGTGCACCTCCAATATTTGCCTTAGAACTTGCAGAGGCCATAGTTCACATTCAAGTGAAGTGAGTGTATGCAGGGGCCTGGGCCCCCATCCCTGAGTAACCAGTGCAGACTTGTCTCACACTTATCTACCTGTGAAATCCTTCATACCTCTCATAACTGGTCAATGACTGTATCAGCAAACTGCATCAGGTGTTTTTCTACATGCTTTTACACAGATTAAATGGATTATTGTATTGGTAGATTTTGGTGCATCATTTTTAATGTAATAGCTTCTAAGCTTGTAGTTCAAGTTATTTTTTCTTATTTTTTCTAGACTGTTTTGTGTTAATATTGTCCACTTGAAATAGCTGTTATTTGCTTATTCTCTACTAAGAGTTCTTACCTAAATTTTTAATGCTACATGACCCTAATTATTAAAGACTTAACAACCATGTAAATACCTTGTTGTGCAACCCCATTTTCATACATTTCAATTGCTAGTGTTATATAAATGACTTTTTTTCGTCTAGACACCATTTCTCTTTATGAAATAAAGAAACTTGCATATCATTCAGAGTACTTTTTGTTTGTGCTAACCGTGATAAATTACTGTACACATTTGCTTTATTCTACAATATGTTTAATTTGTGTAAGAAACTATGCCTTAAGGCAGAGGTTCCCAAACCGTGTCATTGCAGAGGGGGCGCGGGAAGCCGTCTGGATGAAAAAAAAAACAAAACATGAACATGTATGTGCTGGGTTTTTACCTTAGAATGGCCAACTCTCTGTTATTCCTAAGTCAATTTGATAGAGGCTTCCACACTTCCCATATTTGTGTCCTCTGTCACTTTTATCAGCAGTTAATACCGTTTAATCCGTTGTTAACATGTTGTAACCTGTTTTTCCGAGCCGCCTTTAAACGCAACATGAGCGCTACGACGCTCGCGCTGGGTTTCCACCTGCTGCTGGGCGGAGCTACGTAGGTTTGTGTTAGAATCACGGCAGCAAACCAGCAAAACGCAAAGAACTTTTCACAGTTTTTCCCTTCAAACTAACCGACTGAGTTGAGTAAAGCTGTTGGATGCAGGTAATGTTAGCTTAAAGATGACTAGCTAATATCAATACAGAACCTTAAGCTTAACAAGTACCTTGTAGGCTACCGATGTTGGTGTCTATTTTTAGCTACGTACATTCATTTTGCCCCCCAAAACGGTTGGGTTTGATTTGTTCAAGATTTTTCTGTCTAAACATTCATTCTACCTTCTATGCTTATTCTGCTCAGACAGGATAAGTAAGAATAAAAATCCCAGATTTTACTAATTTTAGCTATTACTTAAAGACTTTCTGTTTTGTTCTATTCAGGATTGCTGAGTTTGTTTTTAACAAATTAAATCCAGTATATGTGTAAAGAATCAATCCACAATATAGTGTGCATCATCTCAAATAGATCAAAATCATATGGAAAACTATAAAATCAAATCAATGCAACATTATCTAAATTAATTTAGAAACATTCCAGTTCAGTTCTAATGGTAATACAACATAAAGAAATTCAGTTCAAAATGATAAATTGATAAACAGTTAAGAACACTTAGTAACTCTTTAATCAGTGAATTTGCAGCAATCCTTCCCTCTGGGTGAGAGTAGGAGCATCTGGAACAACTGCTGGCAGTCTTAAGGTGAGAAGCAAAGGACATGTTGGTTACAATATGCATCGTTTAAACAAACAGTGTCACTGTTCATGTATTATTTAGAAAACAATAAAGCTGTGGGTGCTGTGGTGGCGCAAGGACAAAGCACAACCCACATATGGAGGCCTTCGTCCTTGACGCGGCTGTCGCAGGTTCTGTTCCCGGCCTGGTGACCTTTGCCGCATGTTTTCCTCTTTCTCCCTTTACCCACTTTGCTGTCAATTCATTATCAAATAAAGATGACTAAAGTCAATAAAACCTTTAAAAATAGTAAAACTTCCTGCAATTTAGCCTGTGGCCAGTTTGGTATAAATGTAGCCTCATAAAAAATTACAGTAGAAAACGTTAACCCAAATCTCTGTTGCACATGGAACAGACAGAAAGTTCATTTTCAAGTTCCAACACGTACAGTGATGTACCTTGTGTCCACAAAAATACATATATTCAATTGGAATTTAATGTGAAAGACCAACACATTTTGTTCATTTTTCTTTTCAAAACAGCTCAAACTCAGTCAGATTAGACGCTAAGTGTTTATGAACAGCACTTTTCACATCTGGTCTGGACTTTGACTAACACATGAATATATTTTGTTTTAAATAATTCCACTGTAACCCTGGCTTTATGTTTAGGGTGGATGTCCTGCTGGAAGCTGAACATTCACCCAGCCTCAAGTCTTTAGATTAACAGTTTTTCTTCCAGCATTTCTCTGTGTTTTGCTCCATCCATCTTCTGTCAACTCTGTCCATCATCCCTGATCCTGCTGAAGAGAAACAACCCCAGAGCATGATTCTGCCACCACCATATTTGACAGTGGGGATGGTGTGTTCAGAGTGATGTGCAGTTGTGCAGTCTTAGTTCTCTATAGCATTTTGTTTTTTGGCTAAAAAGTACATTTTTTTTTTGTCTAATCTGAAAGCTCCTTCTTCCACATGTTTGCTGTGTCCAACATGGCAAATGGGACTTCTTATGGTTTTATTTTAACGTTGGCTTTCTTCCATATAGATCATATTTGTGCAGTGATGACTAATAGCTTTCCTGTGGACAGATCCCCCCTCTGAGCTGTGGATCATTTGGTCCAGAGTCACTAAGGGCCTCTCAGTTGCATCTCTGGTTAGAGCTCTCCTTGTTCAGCTGGAAGTTAAGGTGGATGGCCTTGTCATGGTAGGTTAACAGTTGTGCCGTATTCTTTCCATTTCCAGATGATGGACAGTCAGATGTTCAACGCTCGGAAAATAAGCTTCTCCACAGCTTCTCCCTGATCTGCTCTGTTCCTTGGACTTCATGATGCTGTTTGCTCCCAAATATTCTCTGAACCTCTGAGGCGTCATAGAGCCCCAGAGGTACTGAGATTAGATTATGATATACATATTTGTATTAAGTTAGAAGGACATTCCCACTTACCTAAATGAAAATAACTAAAACATACAATATATCAGCTAAATGTTATAACACACCTCATGCTGGTTAATGTTTTCTAATACCTGACAAATAAAAATTATTTAATGATACAACAATAAGTTGTTCAGTACTATGAAGTTAAGGTTGAGTGTTTCCCAACCTTGGTCCTCAAGGCTCACTGTCCTGCATGTTTTAGAAATTTCCCTGCTTTAATGTACCTCTTTCACCTGATTGCAGTTCACCAAACACCTGCTAATTGAAATCACCTGTGCCGAAGCAAGGAAACACCTAAAACATGCAGGGCAATGTGCCTTGAGGACCAGGGTTGGGAAACACTGGACTAATGCACAGTCAGTAGCTGGTGATAATGTCCCCTCTCTGTAAAAAGAATAAAAAATATAAGAATAAGTTAGAAGCGTATACTGCACAAGAAACATCTGAAAATGTTGTCAAAAATTTTTTATTGTATTTCTCTATCATTGCCCACAGATGTTGGGTTACATCCTGTAACCCAACATCTTTGCTATATAACAGTGTTTCTCAACCCTGGTCCTCACTGTCACACTGTTCTGCATGTTTTTGGTATTTCCCTTCTGCCACAAACCTGAATTGTATCTCTGGGTGATTAACAGGCTTCTGCAGTACTTGATGGTCATGCAATCATTTGAATCAGCTGTTCTGGAATAGAGGCACATCTAAAACATCCAGAGCAGGGGGGCAGTGAGGACCAGAGTTGAGAAACACTGCGATATAAGATGTTAAGACTCACTTTTTGTCCAGCCATGCATGAATTGACACAAATGAACCAGTGACTGGATCCACTAACCTAAACACAGAAACTCTAAGTGTATGAGTGAATACCATCAGATAGCGAAAGTTACACTGAAACTAGAAATGAGGTGAAACATGATGTGAGTGTTTATGTCTACAGAAGTCCTCGGTGCCTCTGGCCTCACGCCAGTATGGATGTTTCTGGTTCACTTCTTCATGATTGAAGACAACTCCAGAATCATGCTCTGCAAGACAAAAAACATTTGTGGTTAGTCTTTTGTTATCCAAAAAATAGGTTTTTCTCTTTTGAAAGTTTTTTTTTTTTTTTTTTTTTAAAGACTTAATGTTTCTATGTTTCCACCATATACATTATTCTGCCTTCTCCAGGTCAGGGGGGTTGTCCTGCCTCAAGTAGAGGAGTTTAAGTATCTGGGGTTCTTGTTCACGAATGAGGGAAGAAGGAAGTGGGAGATCGACAGGCGGATTGGGGCAGCGTTTGCTGTGAAACGTGCGCTGTACCGGTCCGTCGTGGTGAAGAGAGAGCTGAGTCAAAAAGAGAAGCTCTCGATTTACCGTTCGATCTACGTTCCCACCCTCATGAGCTTTGGGTCATGACCGAA